ACCGCCCCCCTGCAACACTGTAATTAAAAACCAGCAGCGACGCCAGGGGTTGGGTCCTTCCTGAAATACTAGTAGTTGCTCAGCTGGCATTTAACGGAGCAGAATGATTCATTGCTGTGTTCTCGTGAGCCTGCCTTTGGACGCTCTCCCGAGCCAGTTCAATCCAGTCCGCAAACCCCCTCCCACCCCATTTCTTAAAAGTCCATTTTAATATTATTCCTCCATCTGCTCTCAGGTCCCATTCTCCCCATTTCGATTATTCTAACCTTTGAAGGCTGCAAATGTTGGGGCAGTCGTTCCAGACGGCTCGGGTGGTAGCCGAGGCAGTGAGTGACATTCGCTCGTCCTTTGAATCCAGGAACTCGCGGTTGCCTTCGCGGAGAGACGGCGCCCGTCGAGTGGGCGAGTCGAAAGGGCGCGTTCGAATCGCTTCCGACACCCGGTAATTTCCCTAGAGCGTCTCCGGATGAGTCTCATCACCGAGCAAGTGCGGAGTTTGACGATCGGGCCTGGGGTTTCTCCTTCTTCTTATTCCTGATGCAAATGACATGTGCGTTTAATGCAAAGTTTCAAACGGTAATCACTCCCACAATTTACGAGGCTTTGCTGTGTCCGTGGGGCCGTAGTCCATAAAGCAGGACGGGCACTGCGTGGTTTTCCTCAGCGTCCTCGTCCTCCAACATCAGAGACGGAGGAAGTGAAACGCTGCTCGAGGTCGACTTGAATCGACAGGATTTTAAAATGGCCACGGATTTCACGTTGTTTTGTTGTTGCGACACAATGGCGGCGAACAGCACGTCTCGCAATGAGTCACCTCGAGACCTTGAGAGCAACAGCGGCGCAAGTCGCACTGGCAGAGCCTGCTTGCTTTCGTCTCAAAAGTTCTCCGACGAAAATTCCGTGTGCATCTCTTGTGTGCGGTGAGCGGAGTGGACGCCGTCTTCGTGACGTCGTGTTTGTCAGGGGCGAAGCAGGCGCTGCGGGCCCCTCTTTTCCGTTTGTACGTGCAAGATAACGTTACTGGGGCGAAGCTCCGCGTCTCATCTGCTTTCCTTCCAGCGCATATTTTGAGCGGTCAGAATTGATTGTCCTCCATCACAGACGTTCCACGGATGGACAGGGGACATGCACAACGTCCACAGGTGTTCCGGACAACCGAGGGCCCCTTTTTAAATCCATGTCGTGTTGACGCATTTAGCGCGAGAGCCGGGTCGGCGTGTGTGTCCGAACTTCATTAGATTCTGCCGGCCGAACAAGGTACCCCCAGTCGCTACATTCAGCTCACCGCAGAGGGAACTGCAGTGTCGATCTCACTGAGATCTGGAAGCTCCTGGACGCCCGAAAATGACGTATTTTCGGGCGTCCAGGAGCGCCCATAAGAAACACGTTCTGCCATGAAAGGCGAGCCGGGGCTGGATAGCTACGTCGCCTACCGCGCGTCGCCTTGAAGCCGAACGAAGCTCGTGTAAACATTATTTAAGGATCCAGTCCGTACCGCGAAGAAAACACAACTCTTCACCATTACAAAGATCGACTGGTTAACGCTGTTTAAAGAAATAATCGCTGATTGGACTGAGAATCGTACGAAACCAATACGTACAAAATACAGTTATTTATTGTTAAAGCAGGTGGTACATATAGTTACCACTGGGTTTTAAATTTTTTAATACGTAACGTGCTGTATTTTGGGGACACACTGGATGGCATGGAACCTAAGCGGCGCGAATTTTATTTGCGAATTCACAAATTACAGTCGCCCCTTCTGTCTTGCCGCGTCTTTCGAGCAGGTGGAATTGGACATCGCCCAGTCATGCACGGAAACGTTACCTCGCCTTTTCTATTGAAAGCTGCTCTCTTACTCAAGTAACTTCTACAACTAATAATAATAGAAAAGTCAAATGTTTCTGTGGTTACGTCTACATGACACGTGCTGAGCGCGAAAGTGGCTCGAGAGACAAACCGCAGTTGGCAACGGAATAAAAATTGTTGTGATGTGAGAGGATTGGATTAAAATGGCTCAGGATGCAGAGTATCCGCCAGTTTCGTGTGAAGCGCGTTATTTATTCACCCTTCCAGTCTAATAGCCGGTGTTTAAATTCGAAAATAAGGGCCGGAGACCGCTGACTCTACACGAACTGATGTCAGGATTAAGAAAGTGTTAATCGGAGCAGAAGAATCCAGCGTCTGCTGCCTTCGCACAAGCGCCCGAGGTACGACGCCGACGTCAGTCGTAAACAAAGCTGGAGGTGTCCGTTTCGTTCTCGAGAGGTCCCGGAATCGGTATCTCATATCGGAGATGTTTTTCCGCAGTCTTCCTTGGTCACTCGACGCACGTAGACCTGCTCCGTGCTTCGACGAAAGTGGAGACGCAGTTTCGCTCCGGTGGCAGAGGGCGAAGTGCACTTGTGCCGTTGTTGCGCACGCATCCTGCTGGTGTAATGGCTGTCCTCGTCTTGCTCCAGCGAAAGGGGGGGGGGGGTGTTTGCAGGTTGGTGTCGCTTTCATTTGGATTGGTCCTGTGTCGGCCACGCCCCCTCACTAGACCATCTGCCCCCCAGTCAGGAAGTGATGCATTGGACGTGAGAAACGAAATTTCAAATTGTGATACGTTCGCCCAATTCGCGGCTTCGCCATGTTTAAATTCGACGAAAACTGCCCGAAGATCCTTCGCGCCTCTGACGTAAGGGAACTGATGTTTGCTCGAGAACTCAGGCTGGAAGGCGAACGGGCATCTGTGTGGACGGACGGCACGGAGGAGTTTCCATGGCAACCGCTGCCTAACTGCATGGAGTGGAATCCTTTTTCATAAGACGACAGAACGTTCACCTAGTCCAAGGAATTGCCCGCCTCTTGTGTAACCAAAAGGTTTACTACCGCGTTCACAGGAGCCAGACCTGTCCAGTCCTCACCCTTCAACTGTTTCCCTAAGATCCAGTTAAATTTTTTTCAATTCCAGCTGCGTCCACGTTCCCTTCAGGTTTTCCAACCAAAATTTTGTGTGCATTTTTCATGTCTCGTCACTTCATCCCCCTCAGCACCCTCTTCGCAGACGCACTCACCCCCTTAACAAAATCCCACGCCCATCTTTAGGCCTATATTTCACACGTAAGCAGTTTTGATTTCCAAGTGTTTAGGCAACCCACGAGACAGGAAAACTTTTTTGAACCGAATCTGCTCTTAATTTCTTCGTCTTCCCGAAGTATTTAAATCGCGTTACGTCTTCAGGTGACTTTCTGGTAACTTGGTGTCAGCGTTATAATGCACAAGTTATCTTCGTTTTATCCGCGTTTGCCTCCAGAGAAACTTTCTTGCCAGCATCCAGCCTGACACAGCCTGCCTGTCTTTGCCTGGACCAGAAGCTTTCTCGTACTTCTGAACGTTATCATACCCGAGGTCCTAAGCGTCACTTCAGTTCTGTGATCTAATCACGACGCCGCGTGCTGCTAATACACAACCGATCTACATGCCCAGTCCATCTCAGAAAGCTTTGAAGCAACTGACGTCACGCGTGTCATCTGTCCGCGGTGACAGAGTCGGAATTAGAAGCGTCGCTGGTTTGGTGTTCTGCCAGCGTCGCGTCTCAGGGAGGGCAGGGTCACGTCCATCTGTACTACACCTCGACCTTCGTAGTAGCAGTTTTCCAGGGCGACGTCCCTCCGTCAGAATCCGGTCCCTAGGTGCTTGGACACAGCCTACGTCGACTGTAGAACTTGTTTCAGATAGTTCGGATTTGGTTCTCGTACAAGCAGACGTCGGCCTGCTCTTGTCTCAGCAGCGTAATTCGAAAGCTGATGCCCGGAAAAATAAAGGTTTTTTGCGATCGGATGCACAAAAACTGCGAAATTGCGCTATTTTGGGGTAACGCGTAAGAATCTGTTTTGCTCCGTTGCATAAAACGAAGGCGCTGCCTATTTGGAGGAGCGCGTAAGGTTGCGGACCAAAGAACGGACTTTTGTTTCAGTGTGAATATTGATGGTATTTGGATGTGCGTTTGTGAAGTTGGAATGAGAATTAGCGTACACATTTGGAAGCCTTATACTTCTCTCCAAAAAAATAAAAAATAAATGCATCTGGAAGAGACATCAACGCAGGTCGTTCACTGACGCCGTGTTCAAGAGCTCTCTGAATCTAGAACCAATAGGATAACTCGGGATGAACGATAGGCAACCCCACTGCGTTCTTCGTTACCTTGCAAAACGCGACGTGCATTCAACATTGACTTCTTTCCCAACTGAAGTTTGTTATCTAAGCATCCTCCGTGCTTCATGCACTGACCAGCTGCTGCCTAGCAACGGACGCAGAGACGGATAAGAAGGCGACTCACCGTCACTCAGCTTCTTGTCGTCATCGCCGTCCCGACCCCGCAGCAACCGCGAGATGGCGCTCACGGAGGGCGCGTTGCTGCGATCGCAGAGCCCGTCCTTGATGAGCCTGGAACAGTAAGAAGAGAGCAAGTCAGTCGGTCGGGAGGTCCCGGGTTCTCTATCGCATTAGGTCCTCCGCCGACTGACCAACTCACCTGTCCCTGATCTCCCAGCTGAAGATCCCCGGGTTCTCCTTCTTGTACTCCTCAATGCGGTGTTCAACCTCTGGGGTCGCGACCCTCGGCTTGCTGCCGCCGATGACCCCGGGCCGGATGCTGCCCGTCTCTTGGTACCGATTCAGGATCTTGGAGACGCAGCCGTGCGACACGCGCAGCTGCCTCGAGATGACGCAGGGACGCACCCCCGCGGCCGCCATCTCCACGATCTTGAGGCGAATGTGGTTGGGCAGAGGACGGCCGTTGATGAACACGCCACCCAGCTGGTTCACGCGGCCCTGACCTGCGGCGACAACACACACACACGCGTACAAGACCATCTTGTTCCTCCGGGTCCTCGGTCCACCGTCTGACCTGTAGCTGTTCGATCGCAACGACAGGACCGGATCTCCCATTGTCAGAAGCCACTGCCGCGCAACAATGAGATCCAAGGTTTCGAATTGTGCAAGAATCGCCTGGGATCGCAGTGCAGGAATGGCTTAAGACGCAACAACGACCTACGTGACGTCTGTCGAATCTGCTGCTTCTTGGCAAAGTTTCCCGGGAAAGACGCGGCGGCGTTGCCTTCTCAGTTTTGCGCCGAAGGCCTTGGGTTCGCGTGCCGTTCCACGGATGGATCGAAATGTGCTCAGGGCGGGCATTGGCGGCCGTCGAAATTGAACCTCGCTCGTGTGATTTTGCTTTGTACGGGATATTTTTCTGTGAAGCTGAGACTTTAAAAGTTTTGAGTTAGGCCGACTCTTTCTAAGATTCCTTGGTTTCCGGTCCTAAGAGAGAGCTCGTACCGGAATTCATTCTGCATTTGCATTGTCTGACGGGCGTCGGCAGTTCGAGTCAGAAGAAATCGTCAAGTTGGGATTCGAGGGTGCCGTTTATTTCGCAAAATAGAGAACTCCGATTCGTTAAGGGTGAGCCAACTTGTCCAGCAGACGGCTGCTCCTGCCGACGTTTCGGCGATACGCAAAGATGTTTTCGGTCCAGGTCTGTCGTGTCTGCAAAGCTGTCAGTTCCAGTGAACACAAAGTGGACGCACGTGGTGCTGGTCGCGTATTTCTGTCCGTCAGTCATCACGTTGGAAGGATTTCGATTAAATTTTACGCGAACGTAACGCCACTGGATTCCACCTACGACTCGCTCAAATTCAGGCATATAAATAAAAGAAATTATGAAGGAAAGCGTCCGTAAAGAATTTCTTTGCAAATATATAGATACTGGAAAGAAAAACTCAAAAAATATTAACATTAACATTGCACTGTTCTACAAGATTGAAAATAATCTTTACGATTTATTTTAATATCCTAATGACATAGCAGACATTAGACCGACTCTAGCGTCATTTGATGTAGGGTTCTGACATTATGAGTCGTGACAGATCTTCAGAAAACCACGTATCTAAGTCTCGTAAAGAATAACTTAATTTTTTTCTGAAGGATCCTCCAGTTTGTTGGGGCCAGACGCCTAGAAATTTGGTGGCCGTGGGCCACAGATTATTTCTGGAACGCCGTTTGTAAGTCAACAACTGAAACATGGCGACGGCGCGAGTGTTTGACAAAATAAGCCCTCGATTGCCTACCCTAATTTTTAGGGCTTCGCGAGAAGAAATTAAACAGTGTTAATTATGATTGTGATGGTTAGAGTGGTGGTAGACTGTAAAATATCTCAAATTGCAAGTCATGAACAAATTCGCATCGATCGGGTCTGATCGCACGACCATCGCAGATGCTGTGGCCCGTTCTCTGGGTTGCATTTCCTCACTCAAGTACGAAATGTTGTCACGGTGTCGATTCCAGACGTTCTTTTGTCTTAGGCCCATGAATATTGTTCTCTGACATTCGCCTATAATTTTGAGAGACGTAGAAAATTTTGAAATTCTGTCGAGACGCTGCTAAGATCTAGTTTGTGATAAACAAATGTGACATTTGTGAGATCACGGCGGCGCTGTCTGCGTCTTCCGTAAGAATCAACCTCACTTCAGCCCTGAAGATGGAAATTTTGACTAGGAAGCAGGAGAAGGTGATACTTGAGCATTCCGTCCTTGCGCCAAGGTGTGAAGGGCCTTGCTCGCCACTGACCGTCCCTTCTCGTGAAACCCCGAGCTCCGGGTTGGGCCCTTCGTCGTGGCTGTCCATCTGTTGGCCTCCGTGGCAACATCTGCCCGTCGCAGGTGCGAAGAGATATTACTCTCGGCCTCATTTATAATAATTTGCCGTAATTCGGGTATCAGTTGCTGCCGGGAGGGGTCGGCGATTATCCACTCGCGCGTTAGATGGGGTGAGCTTCACGTTCCTGCCGCCTTGACATTCGGATAAACACTACTACTTCGTAGGTCTTATCAATTAGTGCACCAGCGAAGTGCAGTCTACCCTTATAATAACAATATCCTTCAGTAGGTTGATGCGTGTGTTATTCGACGACGTTATATTAAGAAGCGAGGTTTGATGATGCTTCAGTGAGGATCTGCAGCGCTGTCCGCGAACGGACAAGACCCGGACACATGCATTCTAACTTATTTTATTGTTTATACGTCACGACGTGCGACGGAGTCTGTTTCTCGGAACGGCGCTGGCGAAACTGCGTCTCTTACCGCAGACAGCAGCGTTGGTTTCAGGGCCACGACGAGCCCGCAGCATCCGCTGTATCAATTCTGGGACAACGTCAATGTCTAAGTGCGCGTATTTTAATGTAATGAAGCACGGAATAAGCTCCAATTTTGTTAAGCTCATGAGAGGACGACATGCGCGGTTGAAGTATGAATGGCGAGG